CCCTGTCTAGAAGGCAATGGTTGAATCCCACCCCTGTCTAGAAGGCAGACATGCCAGAATAGCCAAGGATTGGGAAGGATGGGATTTGAAATCCAAGTTGTCCAGTGCAGCGGTGGGATGCAAATATTTTTACTACCGGTTCTGTGGGCATGGCTAGGTGAGTGTGGCTAGATGGGGGTGGCTGGGTGGGGGTGGCTTTTTTTCCAGCACCCCCCCTGCACGCTCCATTTTTTTTGCCTCCTGGCCCTCAGTGAAGCCTCCTGAGAGGCCATTTTTGCTCCCATCTCAAAAAACAAGGCGCAGGGGGAGCGCAGCACACACACCCCGCGTGCCACTTTTTGCCTCCTGGGCCTCAGGGAAGCCACCTGTGTGAAGCAGTAAGACAGCGAGGAGGATCCCGGAACAGCTGATCGTTGGGAGGGGAAAAAATACCGGTTCAGCTGAACCAGTAACTGTTTTTTTACTACCAGTTCAGCTGAACGGTAGCATTGTTTACTACCGGTTCGGCTGAACTAGGCCAAACCGGTAGAATACCACCACTGGTCCAGTGGGATAGAAAGAGTGCTCAAAACCTTTCTCTTGGCTTTGGCTGCTTCCTATCGATCCTAAATATGCTTTGCCTTGCCTTGCAGATGAGGTCACCCGCTCCTTAACTGGTGTGCCCAGCGGGGCTATCTCCGACGATGCCTTATTCAGGGACAAGTTGAAACACATGGGAAAATGTGAGTTATATTGTGGCACATTGCTGGGCAGAAGCCAACACCGTGATGCATATTTCCTGCCATTGTCTCTCTGTAGCAGGGGACCCCAAAGTTGGAAATCTTTAAGATTTATGTCCCAAAGGTGGTTTTAAAAAGGCAACGGGAGTTGCTTGATTTTTTTTTCCCCTTGAAAATATGTCATTTCTCATTCAAATTTCTTCACTTCTCATCTTTCTTAGACGAGAAGCGGAACATTTTCAAGGACATAAAACGAAGAAAGTCCGGTTGCCTTTTGAAAAGCATCTTTGGGGCAACCATGACCTGGATGATTGAGAATCTTCACAGACCTTTAAGATGCCCCACAGACATGCTGGCTAGGAAATTCTGGGAGTTGAAGTCCACAAATCTTAAAGTGGCCAAGTTTGGAGATCCGTGCTCTATAGGATTGGATGCCAGCTTCCTTGCGCCCCCAACGTGGCATTAGGCCAGCTGGAATTCCAAGGAAATTAAGTCCTAGTAGACAAGGTAGTAGTGAAGGTGTTGGATTCGGAGCAAGGAAAATTTTAATTTCTCCTCTGCTCCTACCCCACACAGTAAAACCACTGAACCAAATTGTCTCTAGGCCAAGTTATTTGTTTAGCATATGTTATATCATACATGCACTACATACATACATTCGTAGATTTTCACAGGTACAGGTATGTAGGTGTAGGTGTGTTCGGGTCTTTTCCCATGTAAGATTAAGAGTATCTTGGCAACATTTCTACGAGGTCCCACTCGCCATCTTCAGGCTGGTGGTTTCAGCTTCATGCTTGTGCAAAGCACGAGGCCGAAAGCACCAGCCTGAAGATGGCGAGTGGAACCTCGTTGAAATGTTGCCAAGATGCTCTCAATCTTACATGGGAAAAGACCCAAACATGCCAAGACCTGCATATATATAGACGGACACAATACAGAAGCCTGATGATGGCAGATGAGATTCTGCCGAAACGTTGCTACAACTTTAAAAGCACAACTATAATGACGTGGGAAAATACCCGAACAAAGCTGAATACCATACATATACACACACACACATACACGCACGCACACAAGTCTCAGGGATCAGAAGCAGGGAACAGCAATAAGATATTAGAAGATGCAACATTCCTGCTTGCATTCCTCAAATACCTCGTTATCATCAGGTCAGGGCGTGTGGGTAGGTTTGTGTGCATGAGTGTCAAAATTGGGAAGATGATAGATGGAATGTCACACATTCATTCAAAAAGGTCAAGGTTTACATTATATCTGCTGCCTCCCTGATTTTGACACACAGATAGATGGTTGTAGCTGCATCAGACTTATCCCAAGTAAATTCTGGAGTAAGAATTAACTGCCAGTCCCTTCTCCTTTAGGAAAAGAGGAAGCAGTCTTGTCTTTAGACTCAACCCGCTTGGATCTCCCGTTTGGGCAGTGGGTTGGACTAGATGACCTACAAGGTCCCTTCCAACTTGATTATCTGTTAACCCTGCAGAAGGATGCATTGGAAAAATAGGCAGAGATCTGGTCCTAAGGGTAGGGTGACCTCTGTCTTTTTCAGAGACCCCCCTCTATTTTTTTCTTCAGTTAATTCAGTTCCTAAATGTACTACAGCTGCAAAATTCAGGATCTTGAAGGAGCTGCAGTTTTTATCTTAATCAAGTTACTAGTCCTTAAGCCTCTCACTTTGGCAGCATGAAGTCCATACTTGAGTATACTGTTTTTCTTTTCAGCTACACGCAAGAAGTTGTTTGAACTTGCCAGAGCTTTCTCAGAAAAGACTAAAATGAGGAAGTCAAAAAGAAAACAGCTTTTGAAGCACCAAGTGTATCCTTTCCTGGTTGTATGAAGTGACCTCCTGTTGGTCTCCCAACCTGGTGATCTTGAGGGGTCCCCCAGTCGTGGTATTCAATTTTTTTTTACTACCGGTTCTGTGGGCGTGGCTTGGTGGGCATGGTTTGGCTTGGTGGGCGTGGCAGGGGAAGAATATACTGCAAAATCCCCATTCCCTCCCCACCCCACTAACCTGCTTTCCAGCTCCGTTCTCCTGTGAAGGGCAACCAAAGAAGACCCAGCCAATCAGCTGGAACTCGGGAGGCAGAGAAGAGATGGGGGCGGGGCCAGTCAGAGGTGGTATTTGCTGGTTCTCCGAACTACTCAAAATTTCCACTACCGGTTCTCCAGAACCTGTCAGAACCTGCTGAATACCATCTCTGGGGTCCCCCCTCTCCCTGCTGTTATCTTTTAATGAATGAGAACATCACTCCAGGCCTTGGAGTGTAAAGAGACTATAATCCAAGTGCAAAGAGAGGTTTATTCTAGTGTGGGCTTCCTCACGTATTCCCTTGTCATCCTGGCCATTGCTGAGCATTCTGGGAAATGAAGTCAAACAAATTAGGAACAGGAATTTGAATGCAGGATTCTTTGCCTTTCCCCATCAGCTGGCTACTTATTGTGTTCTGGTGGCATTCAGCGGTTTGGGTGATTTTCTTGGCTCTCTTTCTGCTCCAGATGGGACCAGGGATTAAAAATAGGACCTCTCTTTCTTGGTTAGTTAACCACAAAAGCAGAACAATCAGATTTAGCTTTGTTCCATTATAGCATCAACCTTGTTAACTCTCAAGACTCTTTCCCCGCCACTATATATATATATTAAAGATGATTTTTGAATGTTGTTTTTGTATTACTTGGTATTTTGGGTGTTGCTGTTGTTGTTATATTATTATTGTTCTCGTTGGGATGGTGACATTATTCGGAGGATGAACCAGATGTGGGAATTTCATTTTAATGAACATTGCTGTGCATGACAGTAAAGGTTATCTTATCTTGTTATCTTATCACCCACCTTGAGTGTGGACACCCAGAAAATGGATGCGGTGGCCATTCTCAAACCTCAGGCAGGTTCAGATCATCTTCCAAACTAGGACAGTTTTTAAACAGTGTTGCTCTCATTGGTTGGGAGTTTTAAGATTTCCATCTGATGCATGGTGTGGATTATGGTCTCCTTAGCACCAATCCAGGATGGGGACTGCAGCCTCAACAGCAAACCTTCTTGATGACGTTGAAGGACATTCATGTGGTAAGATCCGGACCTTAATATGCACATCAGGGAGTTCAACTGGCCCAGTTCCTTAATTGCACCCTGAATTGGGGGATCCTGAAATTATATCATCCAATTTGCTGTGGGGTTTACAAAATATAAATTCCCTGTTCCAAGAGGAATGTGTATGTAAGGTGGTCTTAACTTACGACCACAATTAAGCCCAGCATTTATGTGACTTAAGTATTTGTTAAGTGAGTTTTGCCTCATTTTATGACTTTTCTTGCCACATTTGTTAAGTGAATGACTCCAGCTGTTAAATTAGTAACACGGTTGTTAAGTGAGCCTGGTTTCCCCATTGACTTTGCTGGTCAGAAGGTCGCAAAAGGGGACCACATGATCCCAGGACACTGCGACTGTCATAAATATGAGCCAGTTGCTAAATGCCAGAATTTTGACCATTTAGATGCTGCAACTGTCTTAAGTGTGAAAAATAGTCATGGGTCACTTTATTCAGTGCTTTTGTAACTTTGAACGGGCACTAAACAAATGATTGTAAGTCGAGAACTACCTGTATTGTAGAAATGGACACAACTAAGGGGATTGCCTGCGGAGATTCTCCCTCATCCAGGTCATGATTGTCTCAAAGGTGCTTTTTTCAAGAGGCAACTGGACTTTCTGGTTTTTCTCTGAAGACGTTTCCCTTCTCATCCAAGGAGCTTCTTCAGCTCGTGAGGAATGGAAAGATTCCAGTCAGAGCTGGAGAAGCTTCTTGGATGAGAAGAGAAACGTCTTCAAAGAAAAACTGGAAAGTTCAGTTGCCTCTTGAAAAAAGCACCTTTTGGAACATCTAGGGTGATGTAAGGCTGCCAGCTGTAATCAGGAGCATTGGTAGTAATGATGTTGGGAGCTAATGATTTTATGGAAGGAGAATGAGAAACCTTGATATGGAATCTGGGGTAAATAAGAAAGTTGCTAGAAATAGCAATAGCACTTAGACTTATCTACTGCTACACAGTGCTTTACAGCCCTCTCTAAGTGGTTTGCAGAATCAGTATATCACTCCTCAACAATCTGGGTCCTTATTTTACCAGTCTCGGAAAGAATCAACCTTGAACCTGTCAGGATCAAACTCCTGGCTGTGGGTAGAGTATGCTTGCAATACTGCATTCTAACCACTGCACCATTACGGCTCTTCAATCATCTTTATAATTGGCCACAAGAACAGCCTGTCTCTGATGCTGCCTTTTCCTGCCTTTGAATTGACACCAACTTTAGTCTAGCTGCAAAGTTGGGCCATTGCGGATCTGCACGCTTCAACCATCTTCTACCTCTGTGTTTCAGATGAGGACTGCCAAATAAGAAGAAAGTTACCTGCAGCAGAAGAACCATCAAAAGAAGTACAATAAGGTATGCTCATTTTTGTTCCAACAATCATCAGTTCATTTGCTAGGTACTATAAACAGAAATATTCAAGGTTATTACTGTTTGCAAAGACCAAACAGCATTCAAAAATATCCTTATGTTTAATAATATATTCTTGTAATTTAAAATTAAAACAGGACAGCTATAATAAATAGAAATAGGTGGGGTCGCTAGCTACCAGTAGTTAGTGGGAATGGAGAAGACTTTGAAAACAATGATCTTAAGCAACCTTATGCCCTGAATTTATATTTATACAATCCTTGGTTGCATAAACAGAGACTAGAATCAAAATCACGTGAAGTATTAGTACTGCTTTATAAATCCTTAGTAAGGTCATACCTGGAATACTGCATCCAGTTGTGGTCACCATATTACAAAAAAGATATTGAGAAAAAGTGCAAAGAAGAGCAACTGAGATAACTAAAGGCCTGAAGACTAAAACATATGAAGAACGGGTTGCAGGATTTTGGTATGGCCAGTCTAGAGAAAAGAAGGACTAGGAGGGACATGATAGCCGTATTCCAGTGTTTGAGGAGCAGGAGATCAACTTATTTTCCAAAGTACCAGAGGGCAGGACAAGAAGTGATCAAGGAGAGAAGCAACTTAGAACTAAGGAGAAATTTCCTGACAGTGAGAACAATTAACCAGTGGAACAGCTCGCCACCAGAAGTTGTGGGTGCTTCATCACTGGAGGCTTTTAAGAAGAGACTGGACAGTCACTTGTCTGAAATGGTATAGGGTCTCCTGCTTGACCAGTGAATTAGACTGGAAGACCTTCCAAGTTCCCTTCCAGCTCTATTCTGATTAATTGGCCTTTGGTTTTTCTGGTCTTATGCTACCTGACTTAATCCAGTCCATGTTGCTGCCCAGTGTGAAAATATGTGGAATTGTGCTGCTTTTTTAAAAAAAATGCTGTTAGGCCCATGTTGGAAGAAGCAAGATCAAAAAGCAGTGGTAACAGCAGGAGTGGAATCTAACCTCTGGCCCAAAGAATTTTTTTAAACCTGTTTTGCTCAGTTCCAACTAGATGATAGCAAGTCTCTGATCTCGACTGATCTTCAGAAGATATGCAGAGGTATAACTGACTGATCCTTAAATAGGAGACCATGAGGAAATCCAAGAATGGACATGTGATGACCTGGAGTATAACACAAACGTAACAAAATCCAAAACGTAAATAAATGTCCTTTAATGCCTCCAACTTGGCCCCACTGTTCAATAATTCTCAGCTGGAGATAAAGCGTATTCAAAAATAGTCTTCAAAAGAAAGCAATACAGTCCGAACTTAATGAGCAGATAGAGGTGAAATAAAAACCTAAAACAAACTGCAATGAAGGAAATTCCGCAACGGACCAAGATAAGTAATTACCAACTTCAAGGAGATAACAAGGCACAGTCTGTTGGGAGGACACCAACCAAGATAACTTCAGCCCAAAATAACACACACTTTGCTTCTGGCAATGCTGTGTTTTAACCATCTCTCTTATATACTATTCTCCCCAGCTGCAACCAATGATGGGGACCATGGCCGCTTCCTCTCTCGTAAGCCAAGTTGTTGCCTTCTCCTTTCCTCCCTGCGTGTCCTAAGATGAAGAGGGGATAGGCCTGGTTCTTCTTCTGACTGCCCAACTGGCCTCTGCCCTTCCCAGCCTCCTCCACAACCTCTGGAGCCATACCTCCACTCCCTGTCGGCTGTTCCTCCTCTCCCTCAGAGTCTGGCTCTGACAAGGGCATGACAGGACGTTTTTTTAAAAAGCAGCTAAATAGGAACCAGTTGTCAAACCATTTTGTACTGTTACAAAGAAAACAGCTTGGAGATATTCGAAGGAGATTTTATCTTCCTCCAGTTCCTCTTTGCTCAGAGCTAAGAAGGATACCCTTCCTCCAAAATTCAGGTAGTCCTCAACTTACAACAGTTCGTTGAATGACTGTTTGAAGCTACTTATAAAAGTGACTTATGACTTTTTTTATGATTACAATTGTTGCAGTATTCTTTTAGTCGCATGATCAAAATTCAGACGCTTGGCAACTGTCTCATATTTATGACGATTGCAGTGTCTGGGGATTATGTGATTTCCTTTTTCCATCTTCTGGCAAGCCAAGTCAATTCACTTAACGACCATGTTTCTAACTTAACAAATGCAAGTGATTCACTTAACGGTTGTGGCAAGGTTGTAAAATGGGGCAAAACTCACTTAAGAACTTAGCAACTGAACTTTTGGGCTCAGTTGCCATAGTAAGTTGAGAACTACCTGTATTATAAAGCAGGGGTCTCCAATCTTGGCAATTTTAAGACTTGTGGACCTCAACTCCCAGAATTCCTCAGCCAGCTAGCTGTGGAATTCTGGGAGTTGAGGTTCACAAGTCTTAAAGTTGCCAAGATTGGAGACCCCTGTTATAAAGCACTGAAGCTTTTGTTAATATTCCCATTTTTCTCTCTTTTTCTTTTCTAGATCCAGAATTGGCAACTGGGGGGAGGGGGGAGAAGCCAAATAAGATGAGAAACCATGATGGTTAAAAGGGAAGATAATTTTTACGCTGGTGACTCTATTCTGGAACGATCCAAGGCTTCTCCGAATTCAACCGCATGGAAACATGAAGGCACGTTATGATTATTTTTATTTTTATCCAGTGACTAAGAATTTGGGTCTTACTCTTCCGTCTTTTTTTTTCAACTCTGAGGAATCCAGCTCCCCCACCACCACCCCAAAAAAAAGGGTGGGGGGGGAGAGAGAAAACTGACAATTCACCTAATCTTTTATACACCAATCTTTGAAGCTGGATAATGATAATCTGTTATCAAATGTGGTTCAGAATGTATGAAAAAAAAAAAAAGCCCCACCCATTGTTCCAAAGTGGTTTCTGGCCGTTGTTTTTGCATCATGACTTTTGAACGAATGGATACTTGTGTCCTTTCATCCAGATAGAGGGTAGCCCACCAGATTTTGCTGTATTGTGGATGATGATTTTTACTATAATTATATAATTATTGCTGCTAATAGAAAAGAAACCTGAATCATGCTATTTGAGTGTGATAGTTAGAATAATATAATTTTTTCCCCTCCATGAAAAAGTGTTCCTGCAGATCCCTTCCACAATCAGAAACTATTCATGATAAATATATTTCCCCTTATTCAGGGGGTGTCTGTGGGGGGGGGGTCAAAAAAGTCAAGAACACATCTTCAAACGAGAGAAAAACTCAACTTTTTCAAAATATTTTCTTTAATCAAGTTTTACGAAACACAGTCAGTCTAACACAAACTAATAAAAGAGCAGAAGAAAGAGAAAGTTCTGATTTCTTTGCATTCCTTTGCAGCAAATATAAATATAGTTACAAAATTACTCCATGATTAAAAAAAGACCCTCACTTTTTAGTATTCTTTTTTTTTTTCCTAATCATCATTAGCACAAATCATAAATGCATTTTTTTCTGTTTCATGCAAAAAATCTATAAGGGTTTCCAGTTGTTCATAAATGTTGACATTGATTTTTTCCCTAATCAAAGAGGTTAAATTAACCATCCCCGCAAGTCCTATCGTCTTCACCAATTCATTCCCTTGTTGTAGGTACCATAGTGCTGAGTCTTTTCATTTTTGAGCATAGAATAATCTTGCTGCAATTGTCATAAATAAAACTAAAGTTCTGGAACGTTTGTTCTGGTTGTTTGTCCATTAGGCCAAAAGAAAAGCACCTGGGTTCAGCTATACTTCAAGATCTTCTGAATTAATGCATGTATTTGTATCCAATATGTTTTGGCTTTTTTACAAGTTCATCAAACGTGATAAAAAGTCCCTTCTTGTTCACGTTTCCAGCAAAGATTCAAACTACCATTATACATTCTAGACAGTTTCTCTAGTGACAAAAAAACCCAGCGATACATCATTTCATAAAAATTCTCTTTAAGGTTAGAGAACATTATGTAAATGTGAATTCTTTCAACTGCATGTTTTCCTTTTGGTCCATTTGTACATTATAGCCAGTTTCCTAGCCTAATTTTTCATACCATCTTTTAGTTGTTCTCATATTTCAGCAAAAGTTTATAATTTTGGCAATAGCATATTCGTCACTGGTATATAATTCTAATTCAAATTCAGTTTTGCTTTGTTCAAAATCGTTCATCCACGTTAAACCTTTCTGTTAATTGTATATAAGAAAACCATTGGGAAGCATACCCTTCTCTTATTAAATCTCTTGATTTCAATTCTCCTAAGAAAATTCTAGTACATCTTGGAAGGTTAACCATTTATGTTTATCCAGCATTTCTCATTTACAAAATGCTTCTGGGTGCTGACAGGCTCCCACTTTTTTATACATAAAAGAAGTTGGATTCTAATGTCATGTTGATGGATGCCATATTGACTTTTTTGACCTCCTGGGACATTTCTGCTGTCATTGTTCCTATTGTCTCTCAGCCCAACTTGAATTCCCTCCCATCTTGCTTCTGTGCAACCTCTCTGATAACTTTGTATTCCATGCATTGCTGGGAAAGAGAACCAGATTGAAAAATAAGAATGGGTGTGAAAACTTACATTCGATATAGTGTCCTTTTCCCGTTTCTGTGAATTCAGTGTCTCTTATAGTCCTCATGACATATGCCCTTAGTCTTGTCCCACCTGTGCAGGGTGTCAAACTTGCAGCCCTCAGGCTGGATGTGTCATGCGCTGGCCCCACACGTCCCTGGTTTAGCGAAGGGAAAAAAGTTATGATACGTCACGTGACAACAATGTGTCATTGCGAAGTTGACATCCCTGATTGGGGCTAAGCTTCACTGGAGAAGATCGGACTACAGTAGTCCACATTTAATAACCATAATTAAGACTGGCAACTAGGTGCCCACCTATGTTTGCGAAATAAGGGAATACCTTTTTTTAAAAGTGACAATTTCTCTTTAGAATTTTTTATAACTACATAGATAAAAGCACAAGGATGCACATTGGCCTGTTAAATGTAGACAGCTTCTTAACTGATTGCCGCTGAAGGGTGGAGTTAATATTAATGGTAGGACCTGTATTGGAAGCCTTGAAAACAGTCACCAATTCCTGGGCTCATGCATTTATGCCAAGCCGTATTTCTCAAACTCAGCAAGTTGGTACGTGGACTTCAACTCCCAGAATTCCTCAGCCAGCATAACATAACTCACTGGGGAATTCTGGGAGCTGAAGTCCACATATCTTCAAGGTTGCTGAGGTTCAGAAATATTATGCTCATCTTTAGTCTATGGAGATTCTCAGCTGTCCGGGTCATGGTTGTCTCAAAGGTGCTTTTTTTCAAGAGGCAACTGGACTTTCTGGTTTTTCTTTGAAGAGGTTTCGCTTCTCACCCAAGAAGCTTCTTCAGCTCTGATTGGATGGTGGGGAATGGAAGGATTCCAGTCAGAGCTGAAGAAGCTTCTTGGGTGAGAAGCGGAACATCTTCAAAGAAAAACCAGAAAGTCCAGTTACCTCTTGAAGAAAGCACCTTTGGGTTGCTCACCTTTAGCTTGCTGTACTGAATAAACTATAAACCATGAAGTATAACCGAGAGTAACTGGATTTGTGCAAGCTACTGAGTCAAAACCAGTCGTGCATTTGCTAGGTGAATCATGCCATTAGCATATTTTAGGAGAGAACTGGTAATCCCTGGAGAGATTGAAAGCTGTTTTGCTATTTCCATCCCTAGCGATGGCAGACAATGGTAGCAAAGCTGCCTGTTTCCAGATGTTAGTCTGTTTCGATCATGTGTCTAATGCAGAGATTTGAGTAAGAGCAAAAGGATTATATATACTGTATATGTTCAGTCATTTGGGGTATATCTCTCTTGAAGTGAAATCCAATAACAAGGAGAATCCTGCTGCTATAAAGGGAAAAATTGTGTGCAAATGCAGATTCAGGTAGTCCTTGACTTATGACCACAATTGGGACCAGAATTTCAGTTGCTAAGCAAGGTGATTGTTAAGTGGGTTGTCCCTGATTTTACAACCTCTTTTGCCACAGCTGTTAAGCAAAGCTTTTTAGAAACCAGCTGGGGAGTTCTCAAAAGGTGATCACATGACCCCAAGCACCTGAATTTTGATCATGTGACCATGGGGGAATGCTGTGGAGTCATAAGTATGAAGACTGGTTGTAAGTCAACTTTTTTCACTGCCATTGTAACTTTGAACAGTTGCTAAATAAATGGTTGTAAGTCAAGGACTACCTGTACTTTTTAGGACTTCTCTGCTCAGGTTCCCTGGCATTTTAAAAAATATGGGTTCAGTTGGGGCCTCTGCTATAGCTGGACCTGTAGCAGTGAGTTCCTGAGCATGCAAAGAGTTACTTGTATACCCCACTCTGTTACTAATTTACTTGGTTAAACCAAAATGCTCAGCAATAGATGCGAAACGTTGTAAAATTTTACTCAATTTTACTGTGATTGTTTTTCACTCGGGGAGAATTAGATGCAAGGAAACGAACTGGCAAATTTCCTGGTCTCTTAGGATGGCTTTCTTTCTGTCAGCTTCACTGGAGTTTTATAGATGCAAGATTTAGCTTTGCTATCTGTACCCGACAAAATTTAATTGGAAGCCAATTCTTGCCTCACAGTTTGGAAGAGAATGGAACAATGCATACAGTCTTCTGTTTGGCCTATTATTGGGATTTTTTTCTCAACTAAGAGGCTTACAAAAAATCAGGCCAAGACTATATATATCCATGTTGCTCTAAAAGACTTGGAGAGTTCTCTGAGGCTTAAGCCTTGCTGGTGCTGGGAAATCCTGAATGATTCTTTTTATGCTTTCCAAGCCAGGATTTTTATTTTTATTTTTATTATTGAAAAACATCAGTGCATTTTGGGAAAAAGGGAGGTTTTTTTACTCTGGGGTTCCATCCTAGCTTCCAGGCTGTTATGAAGGTTGGAGAAAACAACCTTGCTTGCAAAATAAATTGTGAACAGGAAAGGCAGCTGAACACCATACCTGGGCAGGCAGTTGATTATTAATACCATGCCAATCCAGGTTCCTAAGTTAGGTACTTAATCTTTGCCCTCAGAGCAAGCCAGATGTTTGGCCAAAGCTGGAAAGAAAAACATCCATTAAACTCGAAAGCTCTTGTGTTCACACCACCTCTTCTCCACTGTTCCTTAACTGAAAATACTGGGTAACCAATTTTCCATTTTTATTGAGATCCTGGACCTTTTCCTGACAGTTGGGAAGAACCAAATGGCCAGAATTAGATTCTGTTGTGGAAGCATTTCACAGAAATTCCAGAACGGAAGGTAGCCACCATTTCTCGCTCCAGTTTCCCCAAAATTAATTAGCAACATGGATGCTCTTTTAAGCTTTACCAAAACTGCTTGCACTGCTGTTGCGTTGCATAAAAGCAAAGTTTGGAAAACTTTTTTTACAAAATACCTTTTGTAAAAAAAAAAAAAAAAAGATAATTGTCTCCGTGTACAGATTCTCAGTAAGTTTCATGCCAGGAGTTCTTGCTCAGTTTTGAAAGTGGTCCGGAAAAGTACAGTTTGGCTCTGAGGCTTTGGAAATTTCCATTAATGATATCCATGGAATAATTTTGTTAAGATGGTACAGTAAATGCTTTTTTGTCCAGTTTCTCATATTCTCCCCCACTGTCTCCCCTGTTTATGGGTTTTCAGGGCTAGAAAGATCAACACCCAAAAGCTAAGGGTTCCCCCCCACCCCATCAAAACAATGTACAATCCATGACAGTAACGTCTGTATTGCTTTCTCTCTTCAAAAGGAGAAGAGACTACTGAAGCGGGCAGGAGTAAAACACATGAGAGACAGTTTGTGATGTTTGTGAATGTTGGTCTTTTAGAATTTATTTCCATACATACTTTTTTCTTAAAAGATGTTTAATATTAATTCGTATAATAAACTCATATTGTACTCTCTTAAACTTTCCTCTTTGTGAGGCTCTGCTGTCATTTGTGGGTCGCCTGGCAGTGAATTGAATGCCAATAAAACTTATTGATCAAAGGTAGATTTACAAGAAAAAAAGCTTACTGAATGTAGGACAGCCAATTCTTGGAATGGGATGGGATGGGATAGGATAGGATAGGATAGGATAGGATAGAGATGGAATGGAATGGAATAGAATAGAATAGAATAGAATAGAATAGAATAGGAGATACGGAATAGAATAGAATAGAATAATAGAATAGAATAGAATAGAATAGAATAGAATAGAATAGAATAGAATAGAATAGAATAGAA